TTTAGTATTTTCTAATCTCCTCCCACTGCAAAGCATAATCTAATACTGAATTTTGGAATTGCCTTCAAAGGTCATGATTTCAGAAAGCAAAGGCTAACAGGTGCTTGGTCTAAAAACAGAACAAAATACAACACAATACAAGAAAAAATCAGTGGCAAATTTTCCCTCAAGTTATATTATCAGATGACAACCCTATCTTAATACTGAAGGTTGCTGGCTTCCTGAACTCCTGTTATAAACATCTTCTCAAGGGGGTAGACAAACAAGACAGCTGACCAGGAGCAGATCTTATGCTGAGAGATGGATTTTCTGATGCTTCTATTTTGATATGACCTTGAGAATTAATGTTTTGTATAACAATAGGACCACGAATGCATTACATCATGTTCCTAGGGAACTGCAATTTTCACATGAAGTTCTTGCAAATCCAAATAAAATTAATCAGCCTTAGATGGCAATTAAATGGAACTTTCTTACAATTTTATAACACGCTGTGGTCTAGACTTGTAGTTCAGACTATGGCCATTGCTCCTCAAAGCCAATGGCTTCATCACAAATGTACACGGTGTGGAGGTGGTGTAAAAAGTTCAATCTAAGCCTTCTCCTGAGGTTTGGGGTGCTTTAGGTGCTCAAGAAGGGGGCCTGGAAAGGTCTGTGGAGGGGAGGCTGTGGGAATCCATAAGGCTCTTCACATTATTTATCAAACACCTGCAGAATGCTTACTATGTGCCAGGCACAGAACTGCAAGCTTATCCTGACAACTCATGAGGCGGGTACATGTTCCCTCATGAGAAGCCCATGTGCACTTGCCCGAGGTCATACAGCTACAGGGTATGGACCCATGAAACCTGGTTCCCAAGTTCATGTGGATAATTTTGGGGCTCTGTTGCCACAGGAAGGACCCACCTCCCCTCAGCTTTCTCCTAATCTTCTGGCAAACCCTGGGCATTTAATTCTTCTCTGCAACCTGACAGGCCACATGAGAGTCAAAAAAAGCTCTAAAGGTTAAAAGCAAGGTGGCCCAGATCCAGGAGAGCTGCTATGGCCCCGACCTGGGAGGCAGCCCACAATGCTACAAAGGTAAGAAACCTCAGGCTCCTGCTTCCCAAGAAAGCCAGAAACAGCTCTTCCAGGGCTATAATAATTTGTTCCATTCAATGTAATCTCTGCAGGAGATTTCATTGGGAAAACAGCAGAAAACACGGACATAAAACTTTAAGATGTGTGAGTGGTAATTTTGAGGATGATGTGTCTTGAGGACTCTATGCCCAGGCAAATTTAAAAATAAGCAGGTTTCCAACATCTAAGGATGGGCCAATCTCTGAGGTTATTGAGTAAAAAGTCAACACCGTAAAGTCAATTACACTATTGACAGATACTCTTACAAGGAGATTTCACATCATAATTATATGCAAAGGAACCCAGCAAATAGACGCTGTGTAATGATCAGCTAATAAAAGTAACACTTCATCTATGTCAATAACAGTTGCAGAGTTAAGACAAACAAACATGGCCTTTGCCACTCAGTAGAGGGAAAAAAAAAATCCCTGAAAGACAAATATTTTCACTTAAGGAGAAGTCACTTAGACTCACACAGGAAAACCTGTCACACAAAGAGAGTAGGAAATTGGTCTTTAGTGGGTGCTAATGACTCTCCTGCCCTGCCTTGGCCCCAGCTGAACGGACTGAGGCAGCCACCCCTGTAAACATCTGAACACCCACGGGAACCCCTGGGCACTGCCACGTGGTCTGGCGGATGACATTCAGTGCTGTTGTATTCTGCACTGGACTGTTTTCCTTTTAACCTCAGCTGAATTTAGGTTCAACTGACACGTGGCCAAATTTAAAAAATTTTTAATTATAATGAATTTGAAAGAGCAAAACAAGATTTTTTCCCAAGCACTTCTTAATGGTTTTACACGGACACTAATTCTGCCAATGCCTACGCAGCTATGTTGATGTTCATTCTTTCTGACAGCATCTCAGGGCCTACTGTTTGCCCTACAAAAAGAGGACAAAGATACTACAAGCAAGTGCCCCTAATCTTCCAGGGCTTACCACCCTTCTCCCCCTAATTTCCCTTAAAACTGAGGGGGCAGGTAGAGAAGTGCTATTTGGACAATTTACTGATACTGCACAATGGTTTTCTTTACTGGTTATCTCTATGCAAATGGTAACTTGTCTAGTTTCTACAAACTGTGGTTGTACATTTAACGAAAACAATTTTGCTCAAAACTCCCATGATGTTCAGGAAAGTCACTCTTTAATTAGACTATATATGCTTTTGTAGTGGACAGACACTGAGCAAGCTGTGCCACAATAAAGCTATTGTCACTCAGCCTCAAACCCACCCTCCTGTACTCTTTGTGGGCTGGGGCTGGTCTGCACATTTTACCACCAGGCTGATGTGAAGCTCTGCCACCAGGGGGTGCCATGGAGACTGCAAAGGTGGTAGAGGAAGAAGGGGCACACTCCCACCCCTGGGTTTCCTGTTCCTGTGTCACCCCAGCAACACCCCTGAACCTCAGCAGCAGCAGCTCATTCCTGCAGCAGCTGCTGAATCCAGCCTGCAGTCCTTCCAACACTTGCAGAACCACCTTCCTCTAGAGGCACCAGCACCAGTAGGTGCCTCCTCGTCAGGGTTTGGAATCCCAGCCCCAAGCCCTTCTGCAGAGGTCTGAGGTTCAGCTCTACCTTGAGTTCTCTTTTTACCCTTTCAGTTATCTGGTTGATAACATTCTACTGGCTAATAGTTCTTTACATGCAAGTCTCTCTGTTCTAAGTACCTGGTGTGGTTTCTGTCTCCTGACTAGACCCGAATGGTACACAAGTCTAGCTTCAGAAACTGTTCTGTGCTGTTTTACTTTGAAAGGAGCCCAAGTGAGCTGCTCGCTGGATTGGATGAGTGGCAACTCTTTAATCGGAGACAAGACTCCAGTGTTCTGCAGTGCTTTGTTATCTTCGAACCAGAACATAACCAGGAAAAAAAAAGTCATCAATATTCAAAATAATGCCTCCAGAGGGTACTAATCAGTAAAATTTGTGATATTAAATGCCATGAGGGTAGTAATTAAAATTAGGAGGCAGCTCCTGCTGAAGGCCAAGCTGGTGTCTACTTGGCTCTTCTGTGACTTTCTACAAGGAACGGCTGGACCCACAGTGAAAGCTACGCTTGAAGGCTCTAAAAGAATGGTCAATTCAGTAAACTGGAAGTCTATATTTAGAATATGCTAATGAAAATACATCATTGCTCACTGTGAAAACAGTGTGTACAGTCTCAGTCTTCTCAACCAAAAAGGTAAACTAGGAGGTGAGACAGGAAAGACTTTAAGAAAAAATGAAAAACAGAATACGTCTCTTCCACAATGAGGCAAGGGCATTGGTATTTTGGCTTCATGGAAGAGGTTTACCAATTATGAACCCAAGTAGAATTACTGATCAAAGGGAAACCAGGAAGATCCTGGAGAATCACAAGAAAAAGACGCTTCCCATATATTTCTGGAAAGTATTCCCTTGTCAGTTTAGTAAAAATGATACGTGGTTTTATAATCTATTCCTATTTTAATTCCTACCAATTTCCCTCCTAATCAGGCTCGAGACACCAGAGTCTGCCCTGGAGATTAAGTGACTTCCATCCTGGTAAAAGTAGGTTGGTTTGCAGGAAGAGTTAAAGGTCAAACTCATGGAGAAGCTCCACATGGTTTCCACAGGGAATCTGACCTTGTGTCTCCCTCAGGCCCCACTAAGCAGAACTTTCTGGGACAATTTCCTTTGGGACATGAAGCACTGTAAAAACAAAATGGCCTTCAAGTGCAAACTTGATCCATAAGGAAGGGCAGAGGAAAGGACCCGTGTGATGCTGTGAAGGGATACGGCTCAGTGGGACAGGTCTTTTCTAACCAGCTAGCCAGTGATGAGGCACAGCCAACTGAGTGAGACCCAGCCCCAACCTCAGCGAGCAAGCCACTGAGGACAGAAAGGGCACCCAGAAAAATGACTGCCCATCTAGGGTCACTCATCAAAGGGCCACCACGGAGGCACCAGACTGCTGGGTTCACAGGAAAGAGAAGTTTGTCTGATGCTGGCTCAGAGGCCACATTCAGAAAAGCACCATGCAGGGATCGTCTTTGTCACAGATCTCGAATGGTCTTGTGGGCGGAGGCTGAGGGAAATCTACATGGAGGAAACGTATGAATGAGATGGGCGAATACTGGACATATCTGGGTAACAAACTGGGCTCGAGGAGAAGGGACAAGTCGGGGGATGTTAGTGGGTTATGGTGGGAATCCCAGAGACACTTCTTCAGGCAGCCGGAGGGGCACATCCTGGGAAACTGGTCTGACAGTGGTTGCTGGAAGGGTAGGAGTGGGCTGCTGTGCGTGAGGGTCCTGCGCTACCCGTGGACCTAATCCAGGGCCGGCAGTGGAGATGAGGAGGACGGAGGAAAGGACTTGCCCAAGGAAGAGTTCCCGGGTCTGGCAACCGACCTGACTCCCCGAAGCAGGGGACTGATGCCACCTGCTGTTTATAGGCCACTTGCCAAAGCATGTTTCCCATGGGATTGTGCATTTGAGTTTTATTGCAACCCCTCCTTGGAGGCAGAGGAGTTTCACAGATAAGGAAACTGAGGCCCAGAGAGATCAGACACCAGCCCAGAGTCACAGGATGGGAAGCAACAGGGCGAGGTCTAGAGCTAGACCTGTTAGCCTAGAATCCAATTAGCAACCCCGCCACCATTTCCTTCTGCCTGCCTTCCCCTCCCTTTTCAGAACAAAAAACTTAACTTTCCCTATCTTCTCATTGGCAAAGAAAACAGGATAATCTGGTGGCCTAAGAAGCAGCAGCTGGCATTTGGATTGGGAGTTCTGGGGGTTACTTTAACCAGGTTTGTCCTCACTAGCGAGAGGCTGGTCATCTCCATCCTCTCAAGGGGCCCCTTGGGACAGAACGATGCCCTTCCCACCCCTCAGGCCGGCCTGGCCTCGCCACCGCCTCCTCACCTCATGGCTGCCGTCATTCCAATGGGAGTGATGGGCAATGGCCGGACACCAGGAAACAGGCCTCGGCTCAGCACCCGCGCTCCGTTCTGGATCACTCCTGGAGGGACTGGAGGAGCAAGGAGGAGAAAGACACTGCATGTGAATTCAGCTGTAAAGATCGCTGCGCTAAGTCAGACACTCTGGGGATACCAGAGAGAGAGAGAGAGAGCGAGAACACTGCACACAGAGCAGAGAGAGAAAACCACGTGTGCACACACACACACACACACACACACACTTGCACACAAATACAGACACACATGCACACTCACTCCCACACTGTCACACACACACGCACACAAGCACACTCACACTCACACACTCACTCACAGACACAGAAAAAGACACCAAGAGAGCAAGACAGAAAGAAAGATAATTTGGTCAGCAAAGTCAGACCCATAGCTTACAACCAAATTATTGACACCCAGGGAAAACAAAATAAAAAAACAGATGAGTTTGAAAAATTGGGCTTCAAATATTATTTTCATGCGTTTATTAAATATATAGCTTTTTATCATTAGTCAGACCCTCACATCTCAAAAGCACTGACCCAACAGGACAGCAGGTGACAAGAGCATTTCCTCACGCTTCTCCAGCCATGGTTGGAAGCTGAAAACATCTTTCTACTTGTCCTTAATCCAACAAGATAAAAATATAGCCCCAAATCACAGCAAAGCTGATTTTACAAGCAGCTTGGCACCTCAGCCCTCATGACACAGTTCATCTTCACTGTGACCTTCGCCACCTGAGGGAAGGCCCCTGCTCAGGGTCCTGGCAGGGGAAGGGTTGCCAGCGAGGCTGCGGCTTCTGCCTCGGTCACTCAGAGCCGCACTGACTTCCTCCTTCCCCCAAGCAAATGTCCTGAGAGGTCTCTCCTCATCCCGCCTTCTCCTAAACACACTCATCTCTGGAGCAACCCTAAGCCAACCTTTTCATCAGTGACCATCAGATCCTGTCCATACTCCATTCAAACTCAGAGAAGCTTGACACCAATCTGATTTTGTCCTTGGATTCACATAACAAGGGAACCACAGGGAATCCCTGATGTTCGACCTTTTTTAGAACTACCAAACAACAATTTCATCTGGTTCCAGCTAATATTCTGTCTCTTGCTGCGTCTGCCAGCACCTCTCCATGTGTCTATGGGGCCAAGGTGGCATCACAAAGTGAGAACTCTGATGGGTTTCAATCTCAGTTCTTGTGTGACTTTGCACAAGTCCTCAAACCTGTTTTCCTTTCTGAACCCCTCCTGCCATCATGGTTCAAAGATGCCCCAGAGCCCTGACAGTGCCCATGTGTAGAATATGCATAAAGCATATGTACGTCACAGGGCCTGGTTTTCCAAAGCCTTGCAGTTTCAAATATTGACCTTGCAAGGACAGGAAATTCTCCTCAGGCTATATATAAGTCTCTGGTGTAAGATAAGAATTGTGGCACAGCAAGTTGCTGGCTCAAAGACAGACAAGTTACTGACTGTCATGTAAAGATACTGAGAAATTGCTATAAGAAGGAATGTTTGCTAAGATCAAGCTTGTGTTGATAGGACCACTTAATTGTCTACTGGAATGTCATCTGGCTTGTTTCACTGAAAGTTACCAGCCTATACTGTTAAACTATAACCCCACCTATGTCTCTTCCTGTAACTTCCTGGTCTAGAAAATAAATGCAAGAAGAGAACCCCAATTCGGTGTTAATTTCCCAAATGGAAGGGTTGGCTCTTGCTTGAGCATTCCCAGGGAGATTAACCACTTTGGGGCCTCTCACTGATCAGTAGAGATGGGCTTTGAGTAATCCTTTGCATCTCCGTCACCCAGGGGAAGTGGGGGGCAAAGCAACGCAAAGCAACACCCATGTATCGCCTGGCACAGTCTCATTCAGAAGCAAGGTGGATAAAGTGACTTTTCAAAGACCACTGAAAAGACTCTAGAAAATTATATATTCAAAAATGGAAACCACTCTGGATATTAAGTTTTTAAAACCAATGTTTGTATAGAATAAACACTTTTTATAAAACACATTGCCAATACATACTTTTTACTTACATATTTTTTAGGTCTCTAAGAACATGTTTTCATAAATATTTCAAAACTTTAATCAAAGGTCCGTCATGTAAGGTTATAATATTATAGACTGTAGATTCCTTTGGCATTCTGTACCTATTGCTAATAATTTTTGACATTTTTCTTCCAGGTTTGTGTAAGGCCCTCGTCACTAGGTCTTACCAAAAGGTGGCATAAGAGATAAAATTGAAACTCTTGCCTAAGTCAGTACTACTAGTACAGTCCAGTGTTCCAGGATTTCCCCTGTCTCTTACCATAATTAATTGTGAGAATAGGCAGAGCCAGATCAGGAACTCCTACCATCCCTGATCATCAGCCTGATTTTAAATAACAGATCAGATCATCTGAGGCAGGAGACTTACCAAGTGTCTTAAAAGCATGGAACTGTTACAATGTGGTGTGCAACTAATTATCATATCTTGCTTAGTTGATGAGTTCTCTACAAGAATGTCTAAAATTTATATTATCTGAATTATATTATCTGATTTTAAGAATTCCTATAAAGTTACAGGCATCAATACAGTGTGGTATTGGTGTAAGAATAGACACATAGATCAATGGAACAAACCAGAATCCAGAAATAGAACCACACATACGTGGTCAACTGATTTTTGGCAAAGGTACCACGATAACACAGTGGGGGAAAGGAGAGTGTGAGAACAACTGGAGATCTATTTGGAAAAAAATGAACCTCAACCCTTACCTTATGCCCTATCTAAAAATTATTAGAAACAATCATAGACCTAAATGTAAAAACTAAAGTTACAAAGTTTCTAGAAGAAAGCATAGGAGGCAAAATATTAATACTTCTCAAGGACAGACATATGCAAAAGACAAGTAGAACTCTGGAGTTTGCAGCTAGGTGCTTCAGTCTATATGTATGCATGTTGCCTAAAAAGATAGGCTTTTTGTTTGCTATTTGGGGGATTGTGAGAGAGGGCTTCAATTATTTTGCTGAATGTTACTCTCTTAGAAATGGTCAGATAACCACGGGTATAGTTTAATTCTGATGTAACATATCTGTCACTAGGATCTCATGTTGGACAGCAAATGAACTGATATACTGCAGCATGCCAATAAATAACTTAAATATTTAAAATCTGCACCACTGTTGTAATTCTTGTCAGTAAAAATGATCACAGTCCCATATACACAACATATCAATTAATTAAAACTTTGTACCTGCCTATGTACCAGGTGATGGGGACATTGGGTAACTACAGTTAAGTGGGAAAGACAGAAAATTAAGGCAGCAATAAGAATATACTATGGTAAGTGCTGGGGCAGGGGGGCTATAGGCATAAAGGACGGAGACATCCAACTCAGACTACGGGGTATCTGGGAAGACCTCCTGTAGAAAGTGCCACCTAAGTTGGAATTCAAAGGCAGAGGAACGGCACATATAAAGACCTGGAAGTGATTAAAAACAAAACAAAACCAACCACAAGGTAATGTGTACAAGGAACTAAAAAGTTACTTTGCTACAGCATATAATCCCAGCAGGAATGAGATGTGTTTGGATTCTGTCCCATGGGTACTGGGAAAACCATTAAGGGTTTTGAGCAGGGAAGCTGTAGCTGAGAACCAGACTTGGTGTCAGACCCACCTTGGTCTGTGTCCCACCTCTGTCCATTACTGACTGTGTTGCCCTGAGCAAGCTACTTACTCTCTTTAAGTAAGATGGTCACAAAAATGATATTTATCTCACAGGGTATTTGGAGATGTAATTGAGTGAATAAAGGCACTGCTATTTAGAAAATACTTGTTGGCTATCAACATCCCCAGAGGACTCCTGAGGTGGCCCGTGCTTTCTCCATTTCTGCAGAGCCTAAAGCACACAAGAACAGGAGACAAACCACAGACCGCATGGGAAGAATGCTGCCATCTTCCTGGCGATGGAGCTGCTGGAAGAGCCACAGCTGCTCTCATGGTGCTCTGTCCCCTCATGCATATCATATCAGGGTCACCTCTGTAGTGGAAACACCCAAAACACCAAAAATTGGACAGCAACTAGGGAGCCCTGGGACAGGAAGAAGCAAATGGAGGTCATGGAGCCATTGGATCATCTGCCAACTGAAGAAAAGCAGCCCGGAAGACAGCACCCCATGCACAGTCCTCTGCCCAGACACCCAGAACCTTTTGAGCACAAGGGCACGCCCAGCAGGAAGGGAAACAAGGGAAGCCTGTCCTCAGCAAGCACCCCCTGGAGAAGAGCTTCTTTGGAGGCTCCTTGCCTCATCGCAACCTTCAGGGAGAAGGATACTGCGGCGGGTAAGAGAGAAGCTCCGAGCATCAGGGCCTCAGGTCAAAGCCTGGCCCCGTCACTAGCTCTGTGGCTTTGGGCCAGCACCTTCACCTTTCTGTGGCTCCGTTTCTCACCAGTAAAGCAGGCATAAACACCCCTCATGGGATTGCTTTGAGGACTCAATAAGATAAACTATGTAAATTGCTTTGCTCAGTGGCTTGGGCCTAATAGAAGCTCCTCCTCGTCCTCATATCGTCATTGTCATCCTACCACCATCCCACATCACCTCTCTAGCATCCTCTTATTATTTATTTATAAAGCACAGGGGGCTTAATGGGGCCGGGACATGGGGAAATTCTTTGGGGCTATTATGCTTTTTGTAGTTATCCCTAACTCTGCGTCTACCCATTAAACATCTTCCTGATTAATGAACTGTGTTCACTTCAAAGAGAATCTCATGGACAAAGCCATCCTGCAGCATTAACAGGCTTTCCCAGAGCTATTTCCTGAACCTCACAAGACTTCTGGCCTGTACACTCCGCTCTTCCTCTGAATCCTGGAGCTTGTTCTCAAATGAGCTGCGACTACATGTTGCCTCTGCCGATCTTTGCATTTCTCAGTCCTTGTCATTGGCAGTACTCGCCATGGTGAGACGGCGGGTGTGTTTGCATTTGCTCACTGGCTGCCAGAAGCCAGCTGTGACACTTAACTGTTTCCCCATCTTTTCTCCTTTCTGTCCCCATCCCCAAGTGTCAGGACCAT